ATTGTGAAATACAAGGCTTTTAACATTTGAAATAAGGCACAAGATTAGGATACAAAGTACTATATGAGGTCATACTTTATTCAACCAAACCAATTTTTAAAATGTTCTTGCAAAAGCAGTTTACTGGAACAATGTCCTAAGGTCATTTGCTCATATGACTATATGGGTTGCCAGAGGCATTTATGAATGGAAGCCAAGTCCATTAACACTGGGCCTTGGCAGTAATTATGTTATAAAGTTCTAAATATGTCCTATGATGGTTCAGTCATACATTTAAGCCATCAAATGATGAGTAGACATATGTGAAGTAGCTTAAGGAATAGTGTTAGCAAGCGAATTCAATGGTTCAAAGCCAATCGAACAACTGTGAAATATTTTGAAATAGCTATATTCTAAATAAACGTAAGCCTACATCTGGTAATTTAACAACTTTATACTGCACAAAGTGGTTCTCACTAAAATTAACATATCAAGAGTGCGCTAGGTTAGAATTCTCTTCTTGAACTTATTAATTTTATACAAGAAATGATAGTACAATTCTAGATATATTTTCATTGAAGTTCCTGAGTAAATCATAGGACTCTTCCAGGTACATACATATATGATTGTAGCTGCAATAATTAGTACTTTGTGATAAGGTTGTTTAGTCTGAAATGTAATCACATGATGGAATGAACAATCCCTACTCAGCCATCATATTCACTTGGTGGCTTTGCACTGATCATTTCTTGGCATAATTCACCTTTCAAAGTTGTTGAAGACAGTACAGCATACCCCCATTTGGCCTTCTGGAGGGAATGTAATGTACAAATGTAATAAATAAAGATACAATTCTATTAATTTGGTATTATGTTAAATGAAAACACCACCTTGAGTCTGATAATTAGGTGGCCTTACAAATCTAGCAAAATTAATCAATCAGTAGTGATTTTAGATTAAAAAGTTATTAACTGGAATGATACAGTATTCTTCACTGTCTTAAAAACCTATTTATAAACAGACCATGTGCAGCAGATGGAAACACCTAGCCAACATCAGATATCTTGAAAAAGCTACCACTGGACCTGGTTAATACTGAAATGAGAGACTACCAGGAAATTCCAGGGCTGTGAGCTAGAGCAAAAAGTCAAAGAGCATCTAAGAAGGCAACAGCAGATCACTTCCTTATTTTTAACCTCAGGCCTTGGATTAGGGTGACTGGGAAGAAGAAGCTTTTTACTGTTTTTACTTTGGGGGGCGGGGAGGCTGGCTGTTGCTTCCTCTGGATAATGCTTTCTTTTGGGATTTAGATTTTATTTTTACTGTTTCTGTATGCTAAATTGCCCAGAGTTGTTGGATTTGGACACCCCAGAAATTTGAAAAACAAATCAATCAACACATGGATGTATTCACGTAGTCACTAAAAATCAAGTACAACTTGAGGAGCTTCTACCTTTTTATAAACAGTCTAACTAGTCAAAACATAACTATAACTTCCAAACTGAGTGAAAATTGTACTTTCCTAACAGAGAAAATAATTTTCACTTGTGTGCCATGCCCACTGAACAAAAGCCTTGGTCTGAAAAAATTAAGATACGAATGTTCCTGTAGATGATGACAAATGTTGAACAGAAAATCAATATGAAGTAGAAGAAAGCCTAATTAGTATTAACAAACATAAAGCAATAGAGTTGTCCAAATAATGTTTAAAGCAATTAGATGCAACATTTATACTAAAACTTTCCTCTCTCCCCTTCCCTCATTACAATCTTTAACTGTAACAATTTTATACTCAACACAGCTGATGCTTTGTTCTTAGTTACAGAATCACAATTCCAAGGTAGATTTTATTCCTCATTTACCATGTTTGGAAAGTTTTGTTCTTTCAACAGAAAAATTCAAAGGCCTTAATCCCAGGGATGATGACACAACATTGTGCTACAGTAGAAAAGACAAATACAAGCATAACCAGTGATGTTCAAAAAAATATTCCAAAAACTGGAACTTTTCTACTCCTACTGTTATACAGATTATTTTTCCAAGAACTTTTAAGAAATGCACTTGTTTCATAAAAACAAGACAACCAGAATATAAGGAGAATAGAGTCAAATCAAAAATAATTGTTATATTTACTTGTCATACCACCTTATGCATTTACTAGGGGCTATTTCAAATATGTAAAGAATAGTCCACTTCTATAATCAGACTTTCCTGCTCTCTTTCCCCCACAAGTACTTCAAATCTCTGAAGCATCCTCCACCTTCCACAATAAAGTTGGAGTTAAGATACAGAAAAGAATCCATCAATGAACAGATGGCCCATAATCCAAATATTATAATCATGCCCATTTTTAAATAAAGCATTGATTTGTTTCAATTACTTTATCATGTCATCCTATATATTTTACTCATAGGTTAGTCCTGCTGTGTTAAAACAACTTAGCTCCAGATAAATATGCACAAAAATACTTATTTTTTCATACACAAATATTTATTTTAAAGCAGGTCTTACAACTGGGAAATAATTTATTACATATTATTTTATTTACTATCACCTACAAAGGCCCCAATAACATATGACTGGCACATCTGGAAACCACTTCCTCTTGCATGACTTGTTATCCATTGCATTCAATACCTGAGATTCTGCTGTCACTTTTGTAGGTATAGTTAGTGAGGACACGACTAGGCTTTTTCACTACAGGCACTAGTTTTATTTATTTCACAATACTTGTGGACCACAACATTCTAAACAGGCTCTGAATGGTAAATAAGTCCTGGAACTCTTCCCCAAAAGGTTCAAGTCACCTCCATCTTTTAAATTTTAAGAAGGCAGCATCTGTTAATATTTTATACTATACTTTCTATCTGCTTTAATCATATGCTTTAATCATTTTAAAACTGACCTACTTTTATTGGGGGAAGGGGTTTGTTTTATTTATTCAAATGGCGTATTGTAAATTGTTAATTAGAACTCCCAGCATTCCACACTGTTGGCAATGCTACCTGGATATCCTGGGAGTTGTGGTTCAAGTTATTTGGAAGGCCACATTTTGCTCATTGAATCTATAGGAACTGCCTTGAAATCAGTACGTGAGACAGAAATTTTCTAAAATGCTTAATCAGATCTCAACTGCAGCCACTATGAATAGTAATATACATAAACAGTGGCACCTGTGTTGTATGGGACATCTGTTTTCTATGACTTGCCCCCACTATGGAAGTATGAGGGCTAGCAATGAACTATGAAATATACTAATGGCATTTTATAACATCTATGCTTCCTCAGAGAAGCATCAAATTCTCAGAAATTACTGTTAACATTAAAGCCATGATATAACAAGGAACATCACCAAGCATCACCACACATTTCTGTAAAAAAAACTATACAGTACTCACTGAAAATTGTAAATGCAAATGTTGACACACTACCTGACAATTAAAATCTTTCTAGTGATATTGTAGTAGTGAAATACTTCACTGGGCATGAGTTAGACTAGATAACCTCCAAGACTCCTCGAACTCTTACATTCTATGATTCATTAGACAGTATCACTGTTATTCGTCCATGGCATACAAAGGTGTTTCAGGTGCAAATTCCCTGTAAGATATGTTCAGCCAAGAGAGAATGGACAGCTCTAAGCTACTTAGTGAATTTTCATAGTGGGTGCACAGCAGGATGCTTGAACTTGGATCTCCCTAGCTTTGTCCAACAGACTAAACCGCCACACTAGTTCTTGTTGGTTTAAGTATATGCCTTCCATTTAAGTATATGCTTACAGCATAAGGAACATTTTTTTATCTGATGCAAGCAGTTTTGTGAGCAGAAATGTAGGTTTTTTAATACAGATGAAAATGTATTCAGATCATATGAACACGCACTTCAAAGGAATATATCTCTGAGTGACAGATCCCTGTATAATATGAAAATTACACAATTATGTGTGTCTCTGGAATTATTGATCTCCTGTCTTAATTAGTATCTTAGAAACCTCACTATTAAATATTTAAATACTTAAATGCTGTTACTGCACAATTAACCTCTCTATATTCCATTTTAAATAGAATTGCTTAGCTTAGCCAACCATCCATTTATAACTTTGAACAGCTTTATTCTTTAATGGATTTTTCCAGGAACTACTTATGTTTCAAAAGGGTACTTTCCAATGACTGCAAGCTGTTTAATGACTTGAGATGCCTAGCTGTCCACTCCACTAAATCAATTTTAAACCCATACTTACATTAAATATTCATAAGATGGATATTTCTACTTCCAGTGAAGTCACCCACCTTGTGTTGGTATTAAGCAGTTTAACTTTATTTTTAGTTTTAACAATGGTTAGTTACTTTATAGTAATGATAGATACATAATATGTACCACTAACTCCAAAAATTGCTGAGGAAATATTCCAACACTTCCATGATCCCATTAAAATCAGCAGTAGCACATTAATTAGATGGGATACTAAATAAATGCCCAGTACCATATAGTTACTATCTACTTATCTATTCCCCTCCCTCAAATGCCAAGGAAGGATCAAATTATTTGCTTGCAGAATGTTGAAATTAGGCTAAAGTTCACACATGGCTTTAGGGATGCCAATTGCTTACCCATTTTATAGGCTGTGGTATTAACATTTCAGATTGTAACCTAGTCTCAGGGGAAAAGATTAATATCCTATACTCTGACCTTATAATTTAAAATTTCCATTAATAAAACACGCTTCAAAACCAAAAACGTTTCCAAGGTCTAAAACCCATTTCAAAAGAATTTACCATGTAATCATGTTGCTATAGTGTCACTGATTACTAATATGAAAATGCCATTTATCTCAAACAAGGCTATCAACTGATCCAAAAGCAACATTCCCAACATGCAGGCACACTGAAGACAATTATGGAGTGAGAACTGTAGCACACATGAGAATAGAAATGCCTTCTCTTAAAACGAGATATGAAAACTGTACTAGACAAAGATCAGTTACAGATACTATGAGAAACCACAGGGCGAGGTAATCATACCATCAGAGGTGACAACACAGCAAGTCTTGATGTTGCCACTAATTTGTCGTCTCTGTGAGAGGGAAAAGATCTTCAAGGAGCCAAGATGTACCACCTTAATCATACCGTTTACCAGTATGTACAACCTATTTCCCGCACTCTAAACACACACTTTTATAAACCCATCATCACTGATCTTATCGCTTCAGGAAAGGTGGGCATTCTTGGACTTGAAATCCGAAGCGGTGGAAAAGGAATAAAAAATGCAATCCTCTCGTCCTTAGTTTGGCCCGGCCCTTGCCCAAGCGGCCTACTGTGGGTGATTGATGACAGACCCGGATCAAGTCCGCCCTCCTACGCTGCTGGACTCGGAGGAAACGGCCCTGCCATGTATGCTCAGGCAAGGCGCTGGCTCCCCGAGTTAATGGCTTCAGCAAATCGATTGCCCGCACCGGGAGGAGATAGAAGAAGGGCAGAGAGACCGAGGGAGGGCAGAGGAGGAGAATATTCCATCCTTCGCGGCGAAGAGCCCGCCTCCCTCGCGATAACTCCCCAGTTCCTCTTTCTCGCCACACAAATACCTCTCGCACCGCGCAGGCCAGCCCTCTCCCAAGGGGGCAAAAGGTGCGGTGGAAAGATACTCCCCTCCCAGCCCAGCCCGGCACAGAACAAGGCCGACAGTCCTCCCCTCCCCTCCCCTCCCCTCCCCGCACATCCACCGGCGCAGCCC